TCTTCCTGTTCATGAATATTCCAACACTCCTCCCTTCATGACAGGAAGAGACATCAGACCTATTGACTTAATACATTAATTGTGAAAAACCTTGTGCCACTAACCTGGCCTTATACTGTTTATCATTATTTGGCAATACCTTTTTCTTATATACCCATTTACAACCCACAGCTTTGGTTCCCTGTGGCAAAGTCACTGATTTAAATACTTCATGGTCTCCCATGGATTTCATCTCTTTATCCATGGCCTCCTTCCATTTTTCTTGTTCAGCTTTTGGTAATGCCAACACCTCTTTATAACTTCTTGGCTCATACCACACATTGCAAACCTTTAACTTGCTGGCAGAATACCTGTCAGGCGGAATTCCTTTGTTACATCGCTCTGACCTACATGGTATTAACTGCTCCTGTGTCTCAAGTCTTTCTGGCTTCATGTCTTGTTCAGCCTCTCCTCCCTGAACATTGACATCTTCAATAATGATTTTTTTATCATTAGATGAATTATTGTCACTAAACAGATCACCGTCATTAAGTGAGACATACCCAGAATTTGCAATAATTCTGTCCCAATTTTGTTCTGCAAAATTAGCAGACCTTGAAATTATAATTCTTTTACTTCCATCACTAAAGCGATATCCTTTTGACCCTGGCTCATAGCCCACAAACCTGAGCTTTCTTGCCTTTTGCTGTCCCTTTCTTCTGATTACTTTTGGAATATGTACCCATGCAGTACTTCCAAAAATTCTCAAATGTGCTAGTGATGGCTTTCTCCCATATAGAATGGCATATGGAGTATTATTAATGGAGGAACTCCACAGCCTGTTAACTATATAATTAGCAGTTAATATGGCTTCTCCCCAATATGACCTGCTCAAACCAGAATCCTCCAATAATGAATCTTTCATTGTTTGCAAAACACCATTCCTTCTTTCAGCTACACCGCTCTCTGCTGCTGTGTAAGGATTTGTACGTCTGTGTTTTATCCCCAACTGCCCCAACCATTGTTGGAATTTAGTTGACATAAATTCAGTACCTCTGTCAGTTTGCAACTGACACACTTGTTGTCTGTACCTTCTCTCTACAAAACTTACCCACTGTTTGAATTGTTGTAGCACCTCTGTCTTTGCTCTAAGCAAATAGCAAAATGAATACCTGCTATAATCATCAACAATTACCAGTGCATATTTTGCTCCTCCCAAACTGGCTTGCATAGGTCCCACCAGATCTGCATGGACCAGCTCTAGAACTCTTTTTGTTTGTCTTGTGCTATATTTACTAACTGGGAATGCCTTTGACTTTGATGCTTTGCATACTGCACAGTCCAAATATGTTTTGCATCCCTTCAAATTTAGCCCTTCTGCAAAATCTTGCATTTGCTGCAAAACTTTAAAGCTTGCATGGCCAAGTCTTCTATGCAGAAGATGAACACATGAATCATGCTCTGCAACATTCTTAAATATATGGGAACATTGAACCTTTTGTCCCTGCAATACATATAGATTATCTTCCTTTATGCCTTCTGCACAAATATTCCCATTCCTTTTGATGAGACATTTCCCATTTACAAAAATGACCTCAAAACCTTGTTTGTCTAAATTAGACACACTTAACAAATTATGTTCCATCTCAGGTACACAAAGCACATTGGTAAACTTTGATTCCAAATATGGAATTTTTACATCACCTCTTCCTATGACTTTTGGTTTCTGGCCATTTGCCAAAGCCACAGCTTCTTGTGCTACTGGAACAAACCTGCAAAATAATTTAGAATCATGAACAATTGTTCGACTTGCCCCACTATCTATTAGCCACTTGTCTCTGTTGTTGCTATTGCAAACTTTTGCAACACCAAAATGTTCCTTTTGCAAAACAGTCCTTTTTTGTTGCACAAATGTCTTTTTCTGCAAATTGTAGCAAGTCTTTTCCTGCTGAGCAAAATCTTGCAAAATCTCTCCTTTGTTGCAATTTGGTCTGGGTCTGATCTGCTTGTTTCTTCTCCTCTGGAGACTTGCAGTCTGGACCCCCTCCTCAGGAATTTCTCTTCCTCGTGGCTGCTTCTAAAATGGCGTTTTTCTTCTTCATTAAGCAAACATGCCTTTAAAGCCTCAAACTTTAAGTCTTGCTCTTCTTTGCATTCAAATATTGCAGAAACTGTGTCACAGGTTTTATCTAAACTGTTCAACACCAATAAAACCTTCTGGGACTCAGGGAATTTAATCCCACGTTGTTGTAAGTCCAAAAATAAACTTTGCATTTTATTTAAATGCTGTTCCACAGATTCACCTGGTTGCAAACAGGCTCTGTAAAGTTTTCTTGACAATTGCACTATGTTGCAAGCAGAAACATTCACGTGTACAGCTCTCAATTTCAACCAAATCTCCTTTGCAGTCTTTAAATTTGCAACATTTAGAAATTGGTCATCATCTAAATTCAAGATGAGATAAGCAATTGCTCGATCATGATTTTTCTGATCAACTGCTGCAAACACTTGTGGTGGATTTTCAACAATATACCACAGTCTTTAGCTTTCAGCAAACATTCCATTTTTGCAGCCCACACAATGTAATTCTTCTGGCCTAAACGAATATGGCCTTTCCTCAAATTCCATTGCAGCCATTCTGCTAATTCTGCCTTGTTCTTAAACTTTCTAAATACAGGCAATTTCTTCCAGCTTTAAATTGCAATGCAGTCCTTAGTAAGCTCTGGGCCCATAACCTGTTAGAGAATTTTAATTTTCTCTATTGGTGAAAAATAAATCAGAAGCTCTCACAGTTGACTGCATTTAGCTGATTCAAATAACTTTATATTTATATAAAAATATTTACAATACCATTCTTCTTTACAGCAACATAGCTTAACGAAGACTTCTTACAGAGACAGACCAGAGACAAAACCTGAGACTGGAAATCCAGCTCCTAACTCAATACTCTTTGCACAGACTCAGTAGCACTTTCTTCCCATTGGCTGACTGAGTTACCACATGACTCTTCCTGTTCATGAATATTCCAACAAAAACAAAATATAATTCATAATAAATCATTATCCCTACAGTTAATTCCAATCTGATATAGGCAGTTCGCACCACTTCGGGAGAACTGGTAGCTAATTTTTTGTTGCCCAGGCCCAGACTGGACTTCTGGAAGCGGCATCCATACAGAGAACTGGTTTTTCACATATTTGAATCCTACCACTGGATATAGGGATTCTGTCCTCTGTGAGATGGCCTTTGAAATAAAGAATGTAGTCTTATTGATGATGTGCAGATTTGTTCCCTGCAATAAGATTTTCTCCCAAAGTGCCCCAATAAGTTAATTTAAACATTTATATGCCCGAAACTTCTAGGGAGATCTAAAGGATAATGATCTTAGAGTCTTATTGTCTTTTCTACTGTTATATGAATAACACATTTAGTTAGCATGAACAGTTAGGAAGTAGGGTTCAGGCCACAATTGGAAATAGATTTTTGTCCAAAAAGTGGTTCCTGTTTTAAGTTTCATGGTTCCGACAGATGAAACTCTTCAAAAAAAAAAAAAAAACAACTTCGAGACATTGTTTATCTTAAAGAATATTTTATTTGAGAAACAAAGTATTGGCACCACATAGTTGAAACCAAAAACTAAATTCCCCTCCTCCAAGTACAATTCTCTCCTCCAATAAACAGTCATAAATCACATTCCCCAATTAGGTTAAAGCATGGGCTTTCTTCCCAGCTCTCCAGTCTACTGCAGGCCTTTGGTCTCTTTGGCAAGCTAGAAAGTATTCAAAGCTATTAGCTTATCTTGCAGATGGCTTTGGGGTATTTTGGGATAGATATTGAAAAAGTTATAGTTTTTAACTATTATTTTCATCTCTCTATTTTACTGGCATCAGTTTTACTTTAAAAATGTTTTGAATTCTAACTTTTAATTTAGTCCCCCCTTTCCCCCATGCGCCTGCATTCTGATAAAAAAAAAAGGAACAGGATTATTACTAAGGAATCATCACTAAGTCTTGGGGAAAGCTCCTGGTTTCTTTAGCCTGTTTGTTTTATAGTTCTGTTCCTCAATTCTGCATCAGTCCCTTTGTCAGAGATGGAATACATTTTCCCCTGTGGGAAGTAAGCCCCCCCAGAGAAAGAAATATTTTTGGGAATGTTAAAAGGCAGAATATTATATTTCTCTAGAGGATCTTAAAGGCAGAACTCACCTCCCCTCAAGTCTCTCTGCCCCAAACAGAAATCAGGTCTGCAGAAATGTAGATGTGATAACATCTTGTCAGAAAGACTAGAATCAGGAAGTGGGGATTAGAAAGAATCAACAATCCCTAACACCAAAAAATCCAAGTCATTAGCCACAGCCCCAGGGAAGCAGGACCTTTGGGACATAATAGGATTAACACACCACCTCAGACCAGACAGGCACACTAAGACTCAGGTCAAAGTTCATGTCACAGAAACAATTCCAAACAAAAGCCCAAGAAGGTATTAAAAACCCACTCCCTACTACATGTAGTCAGTTTTTTCCACATCCATCTTTCTGTATGGTTCTCCTTTTCAATAAACTACAACTCTTTCTAAAGCAGTCTCTGTGTTTGTTTATTCCCAGTTTGGACTGGACCCTGATAAAAACCACTTCCTACTACATGTGGTCAGTTTTTTCTAGAACCATCTTTCTGTCTGGTTTTCCTCTTCAATAAACTACCATCTTTTGATGAAGACTTTTCCTTCAACAATTTTAAATTGTTGAAAGCAAAGTCTTCATCACTTCTTTCTAAAGCAGTCTCCATGTTTGCTTATTCCAGCCTTGGACTTGATCCTGATGAAAATTTTTCTTTCAACACCCCCCTTGCATACATGCATCTCTTGAGTAAGTGTCCAAAACCTAAACTCATATTTCAACACCCTGCTGGCCGCAATCTCTTTCAAAATATGAACCCTGCCCGGCGAACTCGTAAAGGAGACGGCAGCGCGGAACGAGCAGCAGCTGCCGCCCCCTCGTGGCCATAAAAAAAGGGGGGCGGACTTTACAGCGCACGCGCCGGACTTCCGGGGGAAACTGCTGGCGAGCGCATGGTCTAAGTTCTGTTGTCGCCCCCCACCCTTTTCCCTCGCGCGTTGGTTCCTCTTGGCTCGCTATGGTGGGGAAAATAGCAAGGCGGAGGAGGCTCCACCAGCCCGCGCCGAAGCCGACAGAGCCGCAGCAGAGTGGGGGTGAGGCGGTACTTTCGGCGGCTGTGCTGACCTTCAGCGCTAACACCGGAAAGGTGGGTGGTGACGGTGCGAGGGGGAGGCCATGAAATGAGAGAAAACAAGAACGCAAGTGACACGTGCTTCTTGGCGGCCGATGCTTCTTAATTGTCCCCTCCTGTGCAGGGCGCCTGGGCAACGAGATTGGCAGGCTTGAACTCTTGTTCATTCCTTAGTTGTTGCTTTCTCAGAAAGACGCGTACGTCTTCCATGAAAGGAGCATCAGTTAGACTAAAGCTTGCCCAAATACTTTTGCACTAGGGAAGCGTTTCTTTGCTTTGCGTCCTAACTCTCCCTTATGCTGAGGAGTAAAAGCCATTAATCGGAGGAAGCTAACTGCCGTTGAGACACTTTGCATGCGATTATTTTTTAGAATGTCAGGATGGTACATAGTTGAAAGGGTCGTCTGACGAGGGAAATGCGCAATTACTCATTTTTACCTAATGTTTCATTACCGTTCCTTCCCGTTAATATAGATCGTTTGCGTATCAAGTAGCAAAACGACTTGCTGCTCAGTGCCATCCTCTCATTGATGGGTATATTTTATAACTTGTGTTCCCTATTTGCAATTCGCTGGCTCTTTTATGAAGGTTCCATCATGGTTTAAGGCTGATGTCCCCAAACTCTTAAGCTTATTGACCTGTTCATGGAATTTCAGATTATTCATTGCTGCCCAAATATAGGAAAATAATTTTATAAATATTTAACTGATATTAAGAATAACAAAAACATAAAACAGGCAAGTAACATGGGAGATGGAGTTGCATTATATGTAAGAAGCTACACCTCTACAGAAATGCATAAAACCAAGGATAAAAGCCTTGAATACATATGGGTAAATATAAAAAAAAGAAAGAATGGTATTGCCATAGATATATATTACTGATAAAACTGATAGAGACAACTCAAAGCCATTCTCTGTTGTCCCCTTCTTCTATTGCCCTTAATCTTTCCCAGCATTAGGCTCTTCTCCAGTGAGTCCTTCCTTCTCATTAGGTGGCCAAAGTACTTGAGTTTCAACTTTAGGATCTGGCCTTCTAAAGAGGAGTCAGGGTTGATCTCTTCTAGGACTGACCGGTTTGATTGCCTTGCAGTCCAAGGGACTCGCAGGAGTCTTCTTCAGCACCATAGTTCAAAGGCCTCAATTCTTTGACGCTCAGCCTTTCTTATGGTCCAACTTTCACAGCCATACATTGCAACTGGGAAAACCATGGCCTTGACTATATGTACTTTTGTTGGCAGGGTGATGTCTCTACTTTTTAGTATTCTGTCTAGATTTGCCATAGCTTTCCTCCCCAAGAGCAAGCATCTTTTAATTTCTTGGCTGCAGTCCCCATCTGCAGTGATCTTGGAGCCCAGGAAGATAAAATCTGTCACTACCTCCATTTGTTCCCCATCTCTTTGCCAGGAATTGAGAGGGCCAGATGCCATGATATTGGTTTTCTTAATGTTGAGTTTCAAGCCAATTTTTGCACTCTCCTTCACCCGCATCAAGAGGCTCTTTAGTTCCTCTTCACTTTCTGTCATTAGAGTGGTATCATCTGCATATCTTAGGTTGTTGATATTTCTCCCAGCAATCTTAATTCCAATTTTTGATTCATTAACCCTGTCTTTCTCATGATGTGCTCTGCATAGAAGTTAAATAGGCAGGGCGACAGAATACAGCCTTGCCGGACTCCTTTCCCAATTTTGAACCAATCAGTGGTTCCATGTCCAGTTCTCACTGTTGCTTCTTGACCTGCATATAGGTTTCTCAAGAGACAAATAAGATGGTCCAGTACTCCCATCTCTTTAAGAACTTGCCACAATTTGTTGTGATCCACACAATCAAAGGCTTTAGCATAGTCAATGAAGCAAAAGTAAATGTTTTTCTGGAACTCCCTAGCTTTCTCCATGATGCAGCGTATGTTGGCAATTTGATCTCTAGTTCCTCTGCCTCTTCAAAATCCTGCCTGTACTTCTGGAAGTTCCCTATCCACATACTGCTGGAGTCTAGCTTGTAGGATTTTAAGCATAACTTTACTTGCATGTGAAATGAGTGCAATGGTGTGATAGTTTGAACATTCTTTGGCATTGCCTTTCTTTGGAATTGGAATGTAAACTGACCTTTTCCAATCCTGTGGCCACTGTTGAGTTTTCCAAATTTGCTGGCAAATTGAGTGTAGCACTTTTACTGCATCGTCTTTTAAGATTTTGAGTAGCTCAGCTGGAATACTGTCACCTCCACTAGCTTTGTTGTTGCTCAGCTTTCCTAAGGCCCATTTCACTTCACATTCTAGGACAGTGGTTCTCAACCTTTTTATATGGCGACCCCGGTCATAAGAACGCGCCCCCATGCGCAGTGCCCCCCATGCGTGGCGCGCACATGCGGTGCCGCCCCCATGCGCATGCGGGTGCCACCAGCTGAGGAAAAAAATGGCGGATCGCGTTGTTTGGCGACCCCCGTAAAATGGTCGTTCGGGGTCGCGACCCACAGGTTGAGAACCGCTGTTGTAGGACAGTGTTTTCCAAACTTGACAATTTTAAGGCATGAGGACTTCAACTCCCAGAATTCCACAGCCAGCAATGCTGGCTGTGGAATTCTGGGAGTTGAAGTCCACATGCCTTAAAATTGTCAAATTTGGGAAACACTCTTCTAGGATGTCAGTGACCACCCCATCATGGTTATCAGGGACGCTAAGCTCGTTCTTGTATAGTTCTTGTATCACCTCTTCTTAATCTCTTCTCCCTCTGTAGGTCCCTGCCATTTTGGTCCTTTATCATGCCCATCTTTGCATGAAATGTTCCCTTCATATCTCCAATTTTCTTGAAGAGATCTCTGGTTCTCCCTATTCTATTGTTTTCTTCTATTTCTTTGCACTGTTCAGTTAAGAGGGCATTCTTATCTCTTCTAGTTATTCTCTGGAATTCTGCATTCAATTGGGTGTATCTTTCTCTTTCTCCCTTGCCTTTCGCTTCCCTTCTTTCCTCAGCTATTTGCAAAGCTTCCTGAGACAGCCATTTTGCTTTCTTGCATTTCTTTTTCTTTGGGATGGTTTTAGTTGCTACCTCTTGTACAATGTTGCAAACCTCCGTCCATAGTTCTTCAGGCACTCTGTCTATCAGATCTAATTCCTTAAATCTATTTGTCACCTCTATTGTATATTCATCAGGGATATGATTTACTTCATACCTGAGTGGCCTGATGTTTTCCCCTACTTTCTTCAATTTAAGCCTAAATTTTGCAACAAGAAGGTCATGATCTGAGCTGGTCTTGTTTTTACTGACTGTATAGAGCTACTCCATCTTTGGCTGCAGAGCACATGGTCAATCTGATTTCTGTGTTGACCGTCCTGTGGTGTCCATGTGTAGAGCTGTCTCTTGGGTTGTTGGAAAAGAATGTTTGTTATGACCATCGTATTCTCTTGTCAAAATTCTATCAGCCTGTGCCCTGCTTCATTTTGTACTCCAAGGCCAAACTTGCCTGTTATTCCAGTTATCTTTTGGCTTCCCACTTTAGCATTCCAATCCCCCATGATGATAAGGACATCATTTTTTGATGTTGATTCTATAAGGTGCTGTAGGGCTTCATAGAACTGGTCAATTTCGTCCTCTTCAGCACTAGTGGTTGGGGCATCACTTTTTTTTTGGAGTAGTACCATAAAATTATATATCGATGGAAAGATAATTTAATCAAGAATGTAATGCTACAAAGTTTGTTCAATTATCTGTACTTTATTCTAGGAAAAGTTATAGCCAAATAACCAGAAAAAGGAAGCACAACTTGCTTAGGTTGATATCAGGTAGCTTTCCTTCATCTGATTTTAGTCAATGAGCATGAGTGTTTAGAGAGCCAATCAGGTATCATCTTGTTTTAGCAATGAGCCAATCAGATCACAGTAGGATTCAGTTATTGATGTCATGTATTGAAGCTGAGAGGACATTTGTCAGTGTATTATGTGATTGCTATCAAGTTGGTTGGGGGTTTTTTTGTGTTCTTTCATTTAGTGAGCTTGTAAAATGTAATAAAATTAAAGTAATGGTGCAAAGAGTTGACTGGTTGCCCAGAAAGCAATATAAAATAGTATTATTAAATGAACAAGGCTACAGTTATAAAGAAATTAGAAGAAAAATTGATAGAAGCTTAACCAAAGGTGACATTTCTACTGTACACTTTTCCCAAAAGGTTTCCACAATTTTGGCCACTACTGTATTTTACACTAGTCACCTCACTTTCAGAACTAGGGACTGCCATGAAGCTATACAGAGGGGTCTACAGAGACCCCCCTCCAAAGATTGGCTCCAATTAACCTCCCATCATTTATTAATCTCCTGTTGACTCCCAGACATTTATTGATCCCTTGGCCACTGACCCTTTGGTGTTCATATTGATTACGTTGGGGAATTCTGGTTTAAAACAGATTGGCATGTGGCATCTTAATATGAGATTATGAGAATATGAGATACCTACCTTGGTGCAAACCTAAGGTCTGTCTAATCTGACTTTTTAAGGAATCGTTTTTTTAAAAAGCAAAGGACTTGGTTCTTATTGAAACTTTGCTTTAATCACCAATGTACAATCAGGATATAACGGAGGCAGCTTCAGTTAAATACAATATAGCACCATTGTTAATTTTGTATCATATGTCCCGAAAAGGCAGCTACATTACAAAAGGAGACAGATAACTTACAGTTTAAGCTTGGACAGGTAGGAAAAACTGTAACTTGTCAATGGAAGCTTTATTTTGTTAATCATTTGTCAAGATCATGACTCCCATTTGGTAATACTGGAGATGAAATGTATAAGGATTCTCCACTAGATGGTGATATGAGACAGATCTGGATCCTTTCAGAAGAGTGCAAAGCAAAGCAGCCTTTTATCAATGTTGTGTTTATTTGGAACAGGAAATTTCATGAGTGTATGCTGGAAAACATCTCCAGAAAACAAACTAGTATCCTTAAAGAAATATTAAAACCTGTTCCATAACTGGAACTGCAGTTTGGGAATTATCTATGCATATAATATGCATAAGATATTGCTTATCTTATTTTGAAAGTAAGGAGAAATTTTCTGAAAGTGAGAACACTTAATGGAATAGCTTGCCTCCCACAGTTGTGGGTGGTCCATCACTGAAGATTTTCAAAAATAGACTGGACAACCATTTGACAGAGATGGTATAAAGCCTCCTGTCTTGAGCAGGATTGAACTAGAAGATCTCGGAGGTCCTTACCAGCCTTATGATTCTGTGTTTTATGTTCAACTAATTTTCAGTTTTCCTTTGTCATTTCATGACAGTCTGAGAAAGGTCATTGCTAATTTTTTAAAAAATGCTATATCTAAAAAAAAAGAAAAATGAAGTTGATTTTCATTTAAGCTACAATATTTTACAGTAACAACACTGATGTTGTTTTGATTCTTGCATTCTTGAATAAAATGGCAAAAACAGAAGCCTCATATACGTCAATATAATTAAAGTGACATTTTGAGGAAATAAAAGAAAAAGCACCCCCAGCAAACATTGTTCTTGTAGAGCTTTTTGTATTTATTTTATATTTATTGATTGGTTGATTGATTAGCCCTTGGGCCATATCAAAGTGCAAAGTTCCAGAAACAAATTATTACTACAATTTGATAAAAGCAATTTAAAATGGAATTAGGTAAAATACAATTTAAAATGAAATGGGAATAAAATAAAATGAAATTGGAATAAAATACAATAATTTAAAATATAGATAAAATATGATAAAATTATATTTTGGTGTTACCCCTGCAATCTACCCCAATCAGTCCCACTTATGCAGATCTCAGCTGAACCATTTTGCTTAAGTACTGTGCTGTGCTAAATGTTATTTTCAGATTCTGGCTGGACATAAGGTAAGTTGTTTTGAAAGGGAATCCCAATGGGTCATTCGTTTGATATATAGACCGAGGTATGATATATAGACCGTGGTACCTGTCTCTCACCCTCTTAAATAGGCAACAATCAAATAGGATGTGAGCCTCCTATTTGATTGTTGTAAAAGTATTAAAGCCTGTTCCATAACTTTTGGTGGATAGACTCAGAATAATTTTTTCCCTTCATTTTAGAGCAAGATGGTTGTTCTGTCCTGAGTGCTTTGTGTTATGGTACATCGGGTACTCCATGTCTTCTAATATTCCCCTCTTCCTTGCATTGATTGCTGTGTTCATGTTAAGGGCCAAGACCAAACACAGTAACCGTTAGGTAAATCCTAGCATCTTCTGATCCAAGGAGTTCCCAGAATTTGCTGCGGGAAAGAGCCATCCCAAGAAAATGTGGAAAATGTGATTACCGGGTATCAGCAAACTACGAAAGCAGTTGAAAACCACAAGATTTTGTACCTTACTATTCCTTACTGTTTCTGATTTTCTTGGCATTCTCTGCAACTTGCATCTGTTTTGAATTTTTTAAAAAAAATCTTCACTTGCATTTTGACCAGAACATACGTTACTGTACTTTACCTTGTCCTTGCTATGGTTCAAATCTGTGTTGGACTGTGACACATCCTGAAGTAGTATAAGTTAATAAGCTAAATATGCTAAATAATCAGCTTGAAGAACAGGGCAGTGATTATATACAAACAAGATACCAAGTGGTTTGAAGTATTATATGTTCTGGAAAAACACTAGCAGTGTTTGCATACTATAGATTGGATTTCAGTAAACATGCCTCTTTTAAAGGCAGAAATGAAGTTAATGCTCCAATTCTGCATATCAAAATGGAAACAGTGATTAAACATTGGCTCTATCCCATCTTTATTTGTGTTCTTGTAGGGCAACGGAGTTCTGACATCGGACATTTTTTCTGGGGTGAATATTGTTCCAAAAATTCTGGTGAAGAAGTTGGACACTGATTCAAGGAATTTTTTTTCAGTCATAAAAGGTAAGAATTGAGTGTCTTCACACATGCCTATGTCAATGAATAAGAATGTAAAAATGGATAAAATTTGTCTTCTGTAATAAAGATAGATTTGATTTGAAATTGATAAATTGGATCAGTCTTTATTTTTCCCTTCAAGGAATAGAAGTGGAAATGCCTTCATATTGAACAGAATACATACTTTTCTTCATGCTTAGCATCATGATAACAGTGATTCTTTGGCTGCTTTTCTGCTTTGTGAGAAATAGATGATCTCAGGGGACTGGAATTCTCCCCATTAAGAACTGTCTGTGATGTGATCCTGGTTGTCAGGGCATGTGAATTGGATTCAGTTCATGTCCCTGATTTAAATCAGTGTTTGCTCCCAAAAGCACAGATTTTACTCAAGTTGGGAACACTCTGGAGTTCTCAAAGTTTATCTTTGTGGGTTTTTGCTCATAATACTCTTCCCTCCCTGACTATGTATGAAGTGCATTTATGTCAAAATTGCTCAGAAGAGAATGAAAAACACTGCAGTGCAAAAACCTACTGCTGATTTGTTTAATGCCCTGTATTTTTAATGTAATAATGCTGTTAGGCTAATCTTTTCCTAAACAACTTGCAAAAATGACTGTTGTAAAATTATTTAACTTTTGAAAAATGTCGTAGTTACTGCTATTTGTTATACTGTTCCTCAGTTTATCTGTCTATCCACATGCACACAGACATATACACACACTAAGTAAGTATCTTGTGGTGCTTCCTGTCCCTTACGAGAAATTTTCATAAAATGTAGGAATTAGCCCAAGAATGCTCTACATTTAAAAAATTACAGTTTTTTACCTCTTAGTGCTTAGATATGAGCAGCTATAAGCCAGGCATGATGCCCCCCCCCCCCATTTTTTTTCTTATAAGTTCTTGTCTGCTTTTAATTCAAGACAAAGCTTATGGACAACTGCTCTTATAGTATTGATAATCCAATACATTGTAATATTATTTAATAAATTCACTGTGGTATGGCAAACTTGCATCCTCCATTTTATTACTGTCCAGCCATTAAATTTCTTTACATTTTTACAACACAGTTAGCTCTTATCTTGCAAAATTTTCAGAACTTTTATGAACTAGAACAGGGTATCAAACTGCCGGCCCACAGGCCGGATGCATCAAACTGAAACTGCGCTCACCACATTGCTGGCAGTGGGAAAAAAGTCACGATATGTCGTGACATGTCATATGACGTTGCGAGTTTGACACCCCTGAGCTAGAAGTTATTATTTCCAGAATCTCAAAATCTATCTACTCTGTAAAATCACATGTTTTTAAACTCCTAACATTTGAATCAAACATTTATTACATTCAATACTAATATTTTGCAGTTTCTGTGGTAACTAGATTGCAGAGGCTTACATTTTTGGAAATAAAACAGCCAGGTCTTAGAACATAACACTGTATACAGATACCATTAGGTCTGAGTTTTCAGCAATAGAGGCTGTAACATCCAGATGCAGCCAGTTTTTTAAAACATTTATTTGCTTCTTCATTCTTTGCTTTTCTTACATTTTGACTAATTAAGGTTCTGAAGAACTTGATTAGACATCTCTTAATGTCCTTCCTGTTGATTCTAATAAAGTTACTGGGTTTTTTTCAAAAGGATAAGCATAATTTTCATTTGCATATTTAATAACTGATAGAAAAATGTTTTCTAGGCCTTTCTAGGAAAAATGTTGTGTGTAAAATGAATTATCAGGCTACTGCCAATACTATGGAAGCAGATTTTTGTTTGTGCAGTGGAACGTCTCCTTCCTTTCCTTACTGTTTGTAAAAGTTAGTTCTCATACCGTCAACACTATCAGTATGAACTAGATACGAACAAATCTGACCATGCAACAGCAAAGGACAGATGGGAAAAGGCCAGTCCTTAGGAAAGAAAAGAACAAGCAATATATAGTGCAGGAGGAAAAAAATCAAAAAGAGTTTGAACATTACTTCTGAAATATTGCTACTTGTTTGCTTGCTCCATTCCAAAACCCCATCTCCTTTCAATATTCAACAAGTCTGTAAGTCTCCCAACATTTTCTAAACCATTCTGCCAGTTTTGAAAGGCTAATACCCTCCTACTAATGCTTCAATTCCTTTTGCATTGTCCAGTGTGAACGAGGATTCCCCAATCTTGGTTCCCTCCATAATTCTATGGATTGCACAATTGCAGCTAAAACTCCGTGAGCTGATGTACCCAGGTTAGGAAAGTATGCTATTCATTAGGAGCAGACAACTTTTTGGGGGGGAGGGGGAGTGAAAAGTATTTTTCCTGTCTTACACGTCCATTCATTAATTCTAAAACTTAAATGGATTAGATGGAAGCTACATGGAGCCATTATACTGACATGGCAATATAATCAATTATAGTATAAAGTTGTGAATTCCGTTTTCTAAAGGCTATTGAGTTCTTTGGAAAATACTTTACAGGTTCAATTATGTTCCTTAATTTTTTTTCAATTAAAATATACACGAGTAACTTAGACAACAGTACAATAATACACTACATTCTCTAATACTAGTGCAGTAATAGAAAGTGTCAAGATTTTCTTTCTACAAGTAAATTTTGTTGGGTTAACTAAACCACATCATGCCACCTGGATTTATGATAAGACATAAGGTCCTCAATGACACTAAGAGCTATGCAAGAGATATTCTAGATACTGGCAAAGTCTCCCAAGCAAGACAGATCTTAAGTGAGAAACGCAAACCATCTCACTTATTCAATTGATGAACATCAAAACCAAATTCCATATCAGCCATAAATTTGGTCATGTTATGATGTTATGATTGCTGAATATCAGGTGGCAGAACTTGGTTCCCCTTGCCTGACAACCAAGGCAAGGAACTGCAAAGTGACTAGAAATAAATTGCCAAAAATGAACAGTCTGACCTTAACATGGACTGATTTACCCATTGAGGTTCCAAGGGAGCTAAGAGATCTATCTGAGGTTCTGCTGCATGGTCCTGCTGAGACCTTGGTTGCTGCCTGGAATAGGGAAGTGGCAGTGACCTTAGAAAGGGTTGTGCTCATGTGACTTCTATTTGCCCAACACTGCCTGCAATATACAGAGGAGTTGAGGGAGCTGAAAAGGGTCAAAAGATTCTTCTACCCCCTGACTGAGCACAACTTTTAGAATCATACAATCACATGGCTGGAAGGTATCTTGGCAATTTCTGGTCCAACACCCTGCCCATGGCAGGAGACCTTATATCAGTGATGGCAAACCTTTTAGAGACCGAATGCCCAAACCCAAAACCCACTTATTTATCGCAAAGTGCCAGGGCCGCATCAGCATTGTGGTGCCCTGGGGGGACAGCAGGGGGGGGGCATGGCCCACTGGGTGGATGGGGCTGCGGTGGGCATGGCAGACTGGGTGGGCATGGCTGGGTTGAGCGTGGCTACCTCAATTTTTATCATGGGGGGGCGCCTGTGGGGGCTGGGCAGGATTGTAGGAGATCCAGGGGATCTCTGGTGGGTGGGGCGATGGTCAGGAGGCTTTTCTGCAGGATGAGGCGGGGGTAGGGCAGGGATGCCATTGCTGCAGGGCAAGGTGAGGCAGGGGCGGCTGCTGCCTGACACCATTGGCCCCCACACACAGAGGCTAGCGAGTTCATGGGGGCGTGCTCTACCACCTCTACTCGAGCTTGCTAGCCGGCCGCTTCGCCTCCTTTGTGCTGGGTGGGGCTGTTGCTCCAGGTGCCAGCGGCGACCTAATGGACCTACGTGAGATGCTGGCAGCGGCAGCCATGCCCACAGAGGGCTCTGAGTGCCGCCTCTGGCATGGGTGCCATAGGTTCACCATCACTGCTTTATATCATCCAGATAAATGGTTCTCCAATCTTTTCTTGAAAACCTCCAGAAATGCTGCACTCCCAACCCCAGGAGGCAATTGGGTAATTGTTCTCACTGTCAGGAAGTTTCTCATTAGTTCCAGGTTGGATCTCTCTTTAACGAGTTTCAATCCATTGCTTCTTGTCCTTCGCTCAAGTGCTTTGGAGAATAAATTGATCCCCACCTTTCTGTGGCAGCCCCTCATGTACCTTTTTTTCTTTATGTTGCTTATTTTATATTTACAGTGAGGGAAGAAAATATTTGATCCCCTGCTGATTTTGTACGTTTGCCCACCGATAAGGAAATGATCAGTCTATAATTTTAATGGTAGTTTTATTTTAACAGTGAGAGACACAATAACAACAAAAAATCCAGAAAAACACATTTCAGAAAAGTTATAAATTGATATGCATTTTAATGAGTGAAATAAGTATTTGACCCATTCGCAAAACATGACTTAGTACTTGGTGGCAAAATCTTTGTTGGCATTCACAGATGTTTCTTATAGTTGGCCACCAGGTTTGCACACATCTCAGGAGGGATTTTGTCCCCCTCCTCTTTGCAGATCCTCTCCCAAGTCATTAAGGTTTCAAGGCTGACATTTGGCAGCTCGAACCTTCGGCTCCCTCCACAGATTTTCTATGGGATTAAGATCTGGAGATTGGCTAGGCCACTCCAGGACTTTAATGTGCTTCTTCTTGAGCCACTCCTTTGTTGCCTTGGCCATGTGTTTTGGGTCATTGCCATGCTGGAATACCCATCCACAACCCATTTTCAATGCCCTGGCTGAGGGAAGGAGGTTCTCACCCAAGATTTGACGGTACATGGCCCCGTCCATCGTCCCTTTGATGTGGTGAGGTTATCCTGTCCCCTTAGCAGAAAAACACCCCCAAAACATAATGTTTCCACCTCCATGTTTGACGGTGGGGATGGTGTTCTTGCGGTCACAGGCAGCATTCCTCCTCCTCCTAACACGCGAGTTGAGTTGATGCCAAAGAGCTCGATTTTGGTCTCAGTTGATCACAACACTTTCACCCAGTTCTCCTCTGAATCATTCAGATTCAGATGTTCGTTGGAAAACTTCAGATGGGCCTGTACATGCATGTGCTTTCTTGAGCAGGGGGACTTTGTGGATGCAGCAGGATTTCAGTCCTTCATGGAGTAGTGTGTAACCAGTTGTTTTCTTGGTGACTATGGTCCCAGCTGCCTTGAGATCATTGACAAGATCCTCCTGTGTAGTTCTGGGCTGATTCCTCACTGTTCTCATGATCATTGAAACTCCACCAGGTGAGATCTTGCATGAAGCCCCAGACCAAGGGAGATTGACAGTTATTTTGTGTTTCTTCCATTTCTGAATAATCACACCAACTTTTTTGAAATGTGTTTTTCTGGATTTTTTTGTTGTTATTCTGTCTCTCACTGTTAAAATAAATCTACCATTAAAATTATAGACCGATCATTTCTTTGTCATTGGGCAAACGTATAAAATCAGCAGGGGATCAAATACTTTCTTCCCTCACTGTATGTTCTTATGGCTGTACAAGTATTAATCATGCTTATTCAAATAGAACTAGAGGAGGAATTAGTCCATTTTTCAAATAACTTATGTCTCTTCTGTGGCAATTACTCTTTTCTTTCATTGCTACTAGAAATCAAATTGGAAGGATTATAGTGTGGTTGAAGCAAGCTATGACTTCATTTTATTGCTTTGACTTTATATTAAATCTCAATGACCTTGCCCTTCACACATATCTGTCCGTGCCAAATTAGGATATATGCTGAAGCATTCAACTGGAAGAAGTACACAGTTTGGAAATCCAATAAATTGCTAATGAAAATGCCATTTCCCAAATATTGAGTGAAAAAAAGCGCAAGCTTTGGTGGTTGTCAGTGTCCTCTTCATGCAGATGATAGCAGTGCTAAAAATATCAGGAAAGGGCAAGAATGATTTACTTCTGTTTGAAATCCATTTTACAGGTTTTCTGTTTTGATATCTGAACAAGCAAAACTATGCAGATTAGAGGTCTATTAAGAATGTTGCAGTTTGCTTCTGAGGATAAATAACACAAAATCCTACACATTTGTGTGCCTCTTTCTTAAAATATCCTAGTTCAGTCAGGGGTAGCCTTTAATATCCCATTGATGTAGTATGTCATGGTTCCAACAGACGAAACTCTTCAAGGAACTTCGAGGCATTGCTTATCTTAAAGCATCTTTATTCGAGTAGCATAACTTCGGCACATACATAGGCCAAGCCAAAATCTGAATTCCCCTCCCCTGAGCTCATAGTATCAAAGCACAATTCCCTCCTGTAATTAACAGTCAAAAATCACATTCTCCAATTAGTTTGAAATGCTGGCTTTCCCACCAGTTCTTCAACTCCCATTTCTTATCTCTTATTTCAAAAAACTTTGGTTCTCATTCTTATACAGTATTGATATGTCTAACTAAATTCCCATGCACATTCCCCCCCCCCAGTATCATCTAATTCTACCTCTTAAAAGTAAAACATAAAGTAAAGGAAAATGGCTGCATCTCCATATGTTGTCAAAGCAAGAACATCCGATGTTAGCAGCATTGACATAGTACATATTGGAAGTAGGATGTTTGCTTTTTTTCCTATACTATCAGGAAAGAATAAGGAGTAAGGTGCAGACTGTAAGGTGCATGTTCTCTGATCAGTATCTCCCTTCTGAATCAATTTCACCTATTTCATTAAAACTCCGTAGTTTTTCTGCATCCTAAAAGGAATTGGTTTCTATCACTTTTCTGAAGATAAAAAGCAATTGCAATAATAGTTGATTTTTTTAGGATTTATGTTTTGTTTTCACAAAAAATCTTATTAAAGATATCATCTATAACCCAGTAATAAAGTGCTTATGGACTGGCACTCTAATCATGTTATTTATATAGGATGTTTTAAGTGTTTATTAATTATAAAAGACAGAGACACTAGATCGGAGTAGGCAACCTCGGCTCTTTTATGACTCATGGACTTCAACTCCCAGAATTCCTGAGTAAGCTGACTCAAGAATTCTGGGAGTTGAAGTCCATGAGTCATAAAAGAGCCGAGGTTGCCTACCCCTGCACTAGATGTAGCTGTTTGATATGTTGTTTTATTTTCTGTTCAGTTAATTACATTTATTTCTAATACTATGTCTCCAAAATCCAGATTTAAAATTGGAGTGCATGTAGGAAATATTCATTGATGCAAAGAAATGTTATTTCTCTAATTTTTCAGATGAAGATGAAAAAGTAATGTCTAAAAAAGAAAAAATGAAGATGCGGAAGGACAGATGGCTGCAAAGTTAGTATTTGTTTCATGATTTTCACAGATAGCTGGATTGCTAGGTGCAGTATGCCAAACAAGAAAATGCTCCTGGAAATATGAACAAGAATATATCTGAACAGTTCTTTTTGACAAAGGTCCATTATATATGATATGGGGTGGGATGTTATGTATAATTCCACTGGCTCAAATTATTTCAAAAATTATCTAATTTTTTTATATACATAAAAATTGTACTATGCTTAGATATGTACACTTTAAATACAAATGCTAAATATATAGATTGTCATGTAATGCCTTTTAATTACAGAAATATACCATACAGAGATAATTCCTGATTCTATAATTCTATAAATTTTAATTCTATAATTTCTAGGACTTTTGTCCCAAATCTAAGATTTTGCCTAAAAATTACATAAGAAGTAATCATGACTGTTGAGAAGGTTAGGTTTCCGCCTGGGACAGGCAGATAAATCTATTAGGAATGTAGAATCCCAGGCTACTTTAATGTTCTGTATTGTCTTTGATGGCTAAAATTCTCTGGGGCTATAGAGAAGCTGCAATGATTTCTCATTGGAGGAGAAATATAGTAAATACATGGAGAAAACAGGAGGTGACATTGATGCTCCCTCTGCCTGTTTCCAGAGAGCCTTTTCAATTTTAATTGATAAGAGCATGGTTTTGTTTGTTTTGAATATTCCTGTTCCCAGAAGCAAACATTTGAAGACAATGCTGACTTAATGTTTAACATTTTGGTCTAAGTTGTATTGCTTAGTTAGGATTGTAATGTGCATTTGATTTTCAATCAGATCTAAGATCTCTTTGAATCCACATTGTCAGTTATTTCGTTTCCTCACCTTTACACACTGCACTTCATCATACATTTTAGATAGTTCCAGAAAAGAGAAAGGCAAGAGTAATGTCTTTGGCTACCATAAAGCAAATGGGGCAGAAGCAGAAAGGAAAGAAAATAATGAGCCACTCGTGACAAGAAATATGGCATTTCATGATTTAGAACAAAGGAAGTGGAGTGAACAAAGGAACATAGACATCTGAAGCCTCTTCATAAGTAGAATCCTGGAAGGCCAGTTAACAGCCGAAATGGTTTCCTGTGAGGACATTTTAATAACCAAAAATTGATTCTCAGGATAGATAAATAGATAGTATTTTTAAACTATATAGATTTTGCAAACAAATATCTCTCAGTGAGATGTTTCATACCAAGATTAAACCTCAGTTAACTCACTGAGGTTTCATTAAAGATAACAGTTATTTTAATGACCTCTGGACAATAAAATGAATAATGATAAAATGAATAATAGCACATATTATAGAACCAATTTCACTCTTCAATCTTAGAAGGTCATTAGCATCTCTGATTTGAACTTATAAATACCTGATGTAATGAGAGAGAATGATTGGAAAAGAAAAATAATGAGACCTAATAACAGCTTAGCTGTTTTTAGAGGGCAGAGATTTCCGTACAATTTGTTAGTTAGGGAGGAAATTAAAACAGAAAGTCTGAAAAAAAGTCTTATCTTGTACTCTATTCTTTAGGAAATAGCTGAACTATTGAAGGGAAGGGGAAAGTATACAAAAAGTGTAACCAGAATTTTAAAAAAGTGTAACCAAGTAAGTGATTCAGTTCAATTGAACTGTCACAGGGTGGCTCTTTATTTTTATCGATAAAAGTGCAGTGGAAAGAAGAGAACCATTTTGGTGCAATAGTTAAGATATTAGACTAGCCTCTATGAGACCATGAGTTCAACTTTCGCCTTAGGCACGAAGCCAGCTGGGTGACTTTGAGCCAATCACTTTCTCAGCCCTAAGAAGCTGCCAAAAATCTTGCCAGGAGAACTGCAGGGATTTTGTCCAGGCACTTGCCAGGGGTCAAGACTGACTTCACAATGAATAAGAAAGAACTATGTGAAAATAAAAATTTATTATTCTCTGCAGCTGAAATTAATTAGGAAATTGATGTAATGTTGCATTTTTTTTACTTCAGCAATAATCAGTTACAATTGTATGCCTAGGAAACAGATGATTTACTTCCTTAAACATCAATGTAGTAAACTAATTATTAGGAGACTTAATTACTTGATTAACAAATGTAATTCTGTAGCTATTAAAAGAATAATTTTTGCAGATATATTTTCATCTTTGGGTTGATTTGCCTTCTGCTTGAATTTTTTTGACCTTTTGCTTGATTTTTGAGGGGGGTGGGAAGGCATTCTGTTTTTGTCCTACTTTTTGACAACTGGAATAATGGAATAATAGCAGTTTTATATATTCCAGTCCAGCCACAAATAAATCATATTAAATTGAGAAAAAAGAAGAAAAAGAATTCAAATTTTAACTACTAAAAATGTGCCCCTGCATCTTAACCCCTAAAATGATTTCATTGGAAAAGAATTCAAAATTAGTTATGTGCAAGCTTTAAGTAAGTGACATTTTTGGAAAGCTTTAAAATAACACAGCTTCATAACTGCAGACCAAAAAAAGAAGTGTTGCAGAGCTGAAAATACTGACAACTAGCCAAGAGAGTGCTTCCAAGGAAAAGTGTATATACAATCCATATTTTTCATAAGCATCTGTAAAAAGTAACTATGACAGGTCAAATGTAGGTTGTACATTGAGATGTCAAAACACCATAACTCAAGGATGAAGGAATTAAATGAACAGGAAAGTACAGTAATGTAACAGAGTGCTTGTAGCTCAATAGTTCATACAGAGAAGGGGGCAGGGGAATCCATGATAACATTGTATAGATCTTCAGCTAATAAAAAAGACAACCAGATTGAACTAATATTCCAGCTCAAAATATGTACTTTTCCCTCTTGTTTTGAACATTACAATAATAGGAGTTCTGAAAATTATACCAGGTCTTTGAATAAATTGCAGTAAAATTGGCTGATTGTTTTAGCACTTTGAAGCTGTTGAGCTTGTACTATTCAGGCTAAAAGTGCTGTCATTTCATTGTTGTAGCCCTGAATGAATAAATATTTCTTTTTTGTTCTTTTCTTCCATTTTTCATCCTTACTGAATTACCAGAAACCTTTAAAAGATCATTGTTGTTGTTGTTAATTGCGAAGTCGTGTCCGACCCATCGCGACCCCATGGACAACGTTCCTCCAGGTCTTCCTGTCCTCTACCATCTTCTGGAGTCCATTTAAGTTCACACCTACTGCTTCAGTGACTCCATCCAGCCATCTCATTCTCTGTCGTCCCCTTCTTCTATTGCCCTCAATCTTTCCCAGCATTAGGCTCCTTCTCCAGTGAGTCCTTCCTTCTCGTTAGGTGGCCAAAGTATTTGAGTTTCAACTTCAGGATCTGGCCTTCTAAAGAGCAGTCGGGTTGATCTCTTCTAGGACTGACCGGTTTGAACGCCTTGCAGTCCAAGGGACTCGCAGGAGTCTTCTCCAGCACCATAGTTCAAAGGCCTCAATTCTTTTGCGCTCAGCCTTTCTTATGGTCCAACTTTCACAGCCATACATTGCAACTGGGAAAACCATGGCCTGGACTATACGCACTTTTGTTGGCAGGGTGATGTCTCTGCTTTTTAGAATGCTGTCTAGATTTGCCATAGCTTTCCTCCCCAGGAGCAAGCGTCTTTTAATTTCTTGGCTGCAGTCCCCATCTGAGGTGATCTTGGAGCCCAGAAAAATAAAATCTGTCACTACCTCCATTTCTTCCCCATCTATTTGCCAGGAATTGAGAGGGCCGGATGCCATGATTTTGGTTTTCTTAATGTTGAGTTTCAAGCCAACTTTTGCACTCTCCTTCTTCACCCGCATCAAGAGGCTCTTTAGTTCCTCTTCACTTTCTGCCATTAGAGTGGTATCATCTGCATATCTTAGGTTGTTGATATTTCTCCCGGCAATCTTAATTCCAACTTTTGTTTCATCTAGCCCTGCCTTTCTCATGATGTGCTCTGCATATAAGTTAAATAGGCAGGGCGACAGTATACAGCCTTGCCGGACTCCTTTTCCAATTTTGAACCAATCAGTGGTTCCGTGTCCAGTTCTCACTGTTGCTTCTTGACCCGCATATAGGTTTCTCAAGAGACAAATGAGATGGTCTGGTACTCCCATCTCTTTAAGAACTTGCCACAATTTGTTGTGATCCACACAATCAAAGGCTTTAGCATAGTCAATGAAGCAGAAGTAGATGTTTTTCTGGAACTCCCTAGCTTTCTCCATGATCCAGCGTATGTTGGCAATTTGATCTCTAGTTCCTCTGCCTCTTCGAAATCCTGCCTGTACTTCTGGTAGTTCTCGATCCACATACTGCTGGAGTCTAGCTTGTAGGATTTTAAGCATAACTTTACTAGCATGTGAAATGAGTGCAATGGTGCGATAGTTTGAACATTCTTTGGCATTGCCTTTCTTTGGAATTGGAATGTAAACTGACCTTTTCCAATCCTGTGGCCACTGTTGAGTTTTCCAAATTTGCTGGCAAATTGAGTGTAGCACTTTTACTGCATCTTCTTTTAAGATTTTGAATAGCTCAGCTGGAATACTGTCACCTCCACTAGCTTTGTTGTTGCTCAGATTTTCTAAGGCCCATTTCACTTCACATTCTAGGATGTCTGGTTCGAGGTCAGTGACCATCTCATTGTGGTTATCTGGGATGTTAAGCTCATTCTTGTATAGTTCTTCTGTGTAGTTTTGCCATCTCTTCTTAATCTCTTCTGCCTCTGTTAGGTCTCTGCCATTTTGGTCCTTTATCATGCCCATCTTTGCATGAAACGTTCCCTTCATATCTCCAATTTTCTTGAAGAGATCTCTGGTCATCCCTGTTCTGTTGTTTTCTTCTATTTCTTTGCACTGTTCATTTAAGAAGGCATTCTTATCTCTTCTAGCTACTCTCTGGAATTCTGCATTCAATTGGGTGTATCTTTCTCTTTCTCCTTGCCTTTTGCTTCCCTTCTTTCCTCAGCTATTTGCAAAGCTTCCTCAGACATTTTGCTTTCTTGCATTTCTTTTTCTTTGGGATGGTTTTAGTTGCTACCTCTTGTACAATGTTGCGAACTTCCATCCATAGTTCTTCAGGCACTCTGTCTATCAGATCTAATTCCTTAAATCTATTTGTCACCTCTACTGTATATTCATCAGGAATATGATTTAGTTCATACCTGAGTGGCCTAGTGCTTTTCCCTACTTTTTTCAATTTAAGCCTAAATTTTGCAACGAGAAGCTCATGATCTGAGCCACAGTCAGCTCCTGGTCTCGTTTTTACTGACTGTATAGAGCTTCTCCATCTTTGACTGCAGAGTACATAGTCAATCTGATTTCTATGTTGACTGTCTGGTGATGTCCATGTGTAGAGCCGTCTCTTGGGTTGTTGGAAAAGAGTGTTTGTTATGACCATCGTATTCTCTTGACAAAATTCTATTAGCCTGTGCCCTGCTTCATTTTGTACTCCAAGGCCAAACTTGCCTGTTATTCCGGTTATCTTTTGGCTTCCTACCTTAGCATTCCAATCCCCCATGATGATAAGGACATCATTTTTTGGTGTTAATTCTATAAGGTGCTGTAGGGCTTCATAGAACCGGTCAATTTCATCCTCTTCAGCACCAGTGGTTGGGGCATAGATTTGGACTACTGTGATATTGAATGGTTTGCCTTGGATTCGAATTGAGATCATTCTGTCATTTTGGGGATTGTATCCCAGTATTGCTTTTCCTATTCTTTTATTGACTATGAAGGCTACTCCATTTCTTCTGAGGGATTCTTGCCCACAGTAGTATACCTGATGGTCATCTGAGTTAAATTCACCCATTCCTGTCCATTTTAGTTCGCTGATTCCTAAGATGTCGATGTTCAGTCTTGTCATCTCTTTTTTGACTACGTCTAGCTTGCCTTGATTCATGGATCTTACATTCCAGGTTCCTATGGAGAAAAAATCTTTACAGCATCGGACTTTCCTTTCACCACCAGATATATCCACAGCTGAGCGTCCTTTCGGCTTTGGCCCAGTCGCTTCATTCTTTCTGGCGCTACTAGTACTAGCCCTCTGCTCTTCCCCAGTAGCATATTGGACACCTTCCGACCTGAGGGCTCATCTTCCAGCGTCATATCTTTTTTCCTTTTAGTACTGTCCATGGGGTTTTCATGGCAAAGATACTGGAGTGGTTTGCCATTTCCTTCTCCAGTGGATCACATTTTGTCAGAACTCTCTGCTATAACCTGTCCGTCTTGGGTGGCCCTGCACGGCATAGCTTATAGCTTCATTGAGTTACGCAAGCCCCTTCGCCACGACAAGGCAGTAATCCATAAAGGGGAAAGAGATCATTAGATCAGAACAAAGCTAAAAGTGTAGTAATATTTTTTTTCCAATTGACAGAGAATTTACAGTTTAAGTTGGAGAATAAATATCTTGACAGCATGACTAAATAAACTTTAGATATTTCCTGGATGAAGTAATTGCATAAAATGTTGAAATTTTTATTAATCAGATAATCTTTCCAAAAGAAAGAACAGAAAATGTGTCTGTCTGTTGCATATAAGAAAGCTGATGCTACAAGTAGGGAGAGTAAAAGCAGTGCTTTAGATTCCTGTTTCTTAACACTTTAAAAGGGCAATAAACTATTAATTATTGAATGTATCATAGGTCTATTTTCAGTATAAGACCCATGAAGTAGGGAGGAGTGCTTCTGACTTTGTGTACTCTTTGTCTTTATTTAAGAAGGAAGTGGTTTCATTTACTTGCAATAGCTTTGCACTAAAAAATAGGGATGATTCAAGAGAGATTGTAGAATACCTATTATGTACTAGACTATTATAATTCAGGAATTTAACATTTTGTTTGATATTTTTTTAAAATCTAAGCAGTAGCATCAATGTTGAAATAAACCCATTAGCGTAAGCCTTAATCTCAAAACCCATTTAAAGAAAGGCCCTAACAGATATTTCATAAAAAACTTAAATAAATCTGGTGAGATGTTCAAGATAGTAAATTCTTACAGGTAGTCCTTGGGTTATGATCCCTTGTTCAGTGCCTGTTCAAAGTTACACAAAATTGAACAAAGGCGATATGTGACTGGCCCTCAAGTTTGCCATTGCAGTTTCTGCACAATTTGGCTGCTTAGCAACCAGCTCTCAATTATGATGATTACAGTATCCCAAGATGACATGATAACCATTTACAACCTTCCCTTCTGGTCTTCCATAAGCAAAATCCATGGGGAAGCTGGGAGGAGATTGCAAGATGCTTCTACAAGTTGCCCCCATCACTTTTTTGCCTGCCCACATAAGCTCTATAGTGCCTGTGGCATGCTCTCCTATAGTACCTGCCCATGCTCCATAGCAGCTGCTCACCCATGCTCTATAGACTTGTTCGCAGCACCCACCCACTTGCACTTTGCACTGCCTGTCCAATGCCTGTGGCACTCTCCCATTCATAGCACTTCCCCACCAGTTTGCTTGCCTGGGACTTCCATCTATGTCATGGTCATGTGAGGTGCTCACTTAATGACCCGCACAGTGCTGGGGTTACAAAAGCAACCAGGACTACTCTGATTGCCATCACTAAGCAATGCGGTCATGTTACTTTGCACTTTACAACCACATTGCTCTTAACAATGGAGATTCTGATCCCCATTGACATTATAACCCAAGGATAACCTGTAATGTGGATCAGAGGTCTCCAACCTTTCCGGGCTTGAGGACTGGAAGGAAGGAGAGCAGCTTCAAAATTGGTGTGAGCGTGCATGCGTGCATGGGGCCACACATACTGGCATAGCTCTAGCAGCCCCGTTCATGCATGTGGCATGTGATAGTGCCCTGCGCATGCTCAAATGGCCATGCACCATAGTGGCTAGCAGCACATGTGCAAATGGGCTGCGGACACCCGCCCCACGCTAGCATCCCCAGTTGCGCCCGTGCGCATGTGCAAATGGGCTGTGGGAGCTAGCATGAATGTGGGGGAATATGCACCCACACGTGCACGCACCAACCAGCCGTTTCCACAGCCCGCTGGCCAAGAGCCCACAGCATGGGACCGGGCCGCGGACCATAGGTTGGGGACCCCTGATATAGTTGCCCTGTTAAAAATGGCAAATTCTTTATATTTGTCAGGTTTCTCTAGAAAGTTGGCATACTTAGAGCAGAGGCTCATCTAAGGACGTTAACCCAAGGATAATACATGAGAGAAAGTGTTCCTTATATTTGCCTAGTTTAGAGAGAAGAATATAAAATATGAATTTTCAAGTACCTTCAAAAATTATTCCTTTCCCAAGCCATAAAACCTAGTGTGTGTATTTTTGTGTGTATTTATTCATTCTTTTTATTTATTTGTATCCCACCTTTATTATTATTATTATATTATTAGTTTTACAAGGCAGTGAACATATCCAACATACCTTCCTCCTTCTATTTTTGCCTTAACAAAAACCCTGTAAGATTCATTTATTTATTTGGATTATTGACTCATAGCACATTGTTCCATTAATCTTACTGCTGACTAGATCACATTTTCTTATTTTTGGAGCATTGCAATTTAAAGTTTACATTTTGACAAAACACTACTAAAATCATTTTAATTATTGCATTTATACTACAGGACTTATTCAGGCAGTAATAACAATTTAAAAATTAGTTTTACAGAATTTTAAAGTACTTTCCTAATAGATGTTTCTCCCTTAAATAGAAATTGAGAGCATTAAGTTGGCAAAGCTGCAGCAAAAAGCAGAGGCAAAGCGGAAAGCTACTCCAGTTGTTGGAGATATGCATTCATTGATGGATGCTCTGCCGGAGCTTTCAGATCTGGTGACAGTAAGCAAGTTCTCCAAACAGCGTAATAAAATGTAAGTGCTTTGAGTACTTTAATAGATTGCTCTGATTCCTCATTTAAGCAAACTGTGGCTGTATATAAGAAAGCTTCAAGGTTCAAGGGCCTAGCTTTGCTTAGTTAAGTTAGGTTCTAGATCAGTGGTTCTCAACCTTTTTATACCGGCGACCCCGGTCATAAGCACGCGGTGCGCATGCGCGGTGCCACCCCCTGTGCCGGCTGAGGCATAGCCGGCAAGGGGCGGCAGGCAGGCCCGGATGCTCCTGGGCGGCCGCGGTAGCGGCGGCACAGGGCGACCACCGGCTGGGCACCAGCTGACCCAGCCCAAGGCAGGTAAGGTACCTGCCGGGCCCCACGCGCGCCAGCAACCCTCCCTGCACCCACTGGCCTCCCACCCCCGGCCCTCTTTTACTTTTTAGTTGCTCAACAGGGAGGGAAGCTCTGCAGACTGTTCCCTTTGCAGCACCATTTGCAGACTGGGGCTTTTGGCGGACTCAGCAGGGCAGAGACAGCCCTGGACAATTCTGTTCAAGAGAGTCTATTCTATTGGCTTTCGAAAGCCAATAGAATAAGAGGGAGTAACACAGCTAAGGAAAAGGGGAAAAAAATGGCGGAAAAATGGCGGATCGCGTTGTTTGGCGACCCCCGTGAAATGGTCGTTCGACCCCAAATGGAGTCGCGACCCACAGGTTGAGAACCGCTGTTCTAGATACATAAGGTAAAAAAAAAAACCTCACTTTTTGTTGTTAATCAAAATTATGAAATAGCTTATTTGTTAGCTCCTTGTAAGAAGTGTGTCATGGTTCCAACAGACAGAGACGAATAAAGCAGAACTCCGAGGCCAAGTGTGCTTTCAAAAGTTTCCAATCCTTTGTAGACTGAAAGGATGCAAAGGTACATACTTGCTTCAGAAGAGATGGGCAAACTCCTGAAGGCATGTTTAAAATAATGGCTAAAGAATAAGATTCAGTACCCTGAAAATTGAAGGTTAAGGTAAATATTGGTAAATAATAGAAAATGTAAAGGTTGAACAATGATCTTTAAGGTTATTATTCCAGAAATGTGTGTCTACAGACCATTTTTCAATAAATTTATCAATTTGTCTTAAAGTAAATTCTCAAACTTAATTTATATTTTTTAAATAATTGTTTTGCCATTGTGTAATTTAGCTACTTAATTGATAATTCAGTAGGTGAGAAAAATGAGGTTTCTGGGTTATTTTCAAAGTTTGAATTAACAGAGTTTTTCCTGTCACAGAAATACTACTTATTTGGAGTTCAAAGTAACACAAAACTGTTCAAAAGTGATGAACACTTTTAGAAAACAAAACTATGGGCAGAATGCATTAACCCTTATTTTTGGTTTTTTTTAGGCAGAAAAAGAAGAAAGTGTTGACAAATTTCAACCAGATGAAATCAGCCCAGAAATGCAAAGTCTTGTAAGTATTTGACAGGAAAAGAAATCTCTTGAGAAATGACACCAAAATCTGCTGTATCACAATTGCCAGGCAGTTCTGTGGTTCTGCTGTGGGAAAAGTAGCTGCACCGGGATGTTAACCAATGTGATGAAGTTGTCCAGATTCAATTCTTAGCTAGTAGCAAGGCAATAGCAAAACAGCTGTAAAATCAAATTCAAAACCAATAGTACTTGCACCATTTCACATTCTCTAGCAATTTGTTGCTATCAAACTATCATGTAGCCACTGACATTGTCCCTCATTGAGCAGTGCATTAAAGATGCTTATACATGTTGACCAATGATGTTCCATTACTTGGCATTTAGTATGCAGCATATACTATTGATATTTGATCTAATTTGCTGTTTAGAAATTAAATAGAAAAAAAACTAAGGCAATCCAAATCCTGGTAACAAAGTGCCCATGATAAATAACAACAACAACAACAATAATAATAATAATAATAAAGTTGGAAGGGACCTTGGAGGTCATCTGGTCCAACCCCCTGCTCAGGCAGGAAACCCTATACCATTTCAGACAAATGGTCGTCCAGTCTCTCCTTAAAAACTTCCAGTGTTGGAGCATTCACCGCTTCTGGAGGCAGGTTGTTCCACTGGTTAATTGTTCTAACTATCAGGAAGTTTCTCCTTAGTTCTAGGTTGCTTCTCTCCTTGATTAGTTTCCATCCATTGCTTCTTGTCCTGCCCTCAGGCGCTTTGGAGAATAGCTTGACTCCCTCTTCTTTGTGGCAGGCCCTGACATATTGGAACACTGCTATCATGTCCTCCCTCATCCTTCTTTTCGTTAAACTAGACATATCCAATTCCTCATTTATTTTAGCCTCCAGTCCCCTAATCATCTTTGTTGCTCTTCTCTGTACTCTTTCTAGAATCTCAGAATCTTTTTTACATCGTGGTGACCAAAACTGGATGCAGTATTCCAAGTGTGGCCTTACCAAGGCATTGTAAAGTGGTATTAATACTTCACGTGATCTTAATTCTATCTCTCTGTTAATGCAGCCTAGCACTGAGTTGGCTTTTCTGGCAGCTGCAGCACACTGCTGGCTCATATTTAAGTGATTGTCCACTAGGACTCTGAGATCCCTCTCACAGTTACTACTGTTGAGCAAGGTACCCCCTATACTATACCTGTACATTTGGTTTTTCTTGCCTGAATGTAGAACCTTACTTTTTTCACCATTGAATTTCATTTTGTTAGATAGCACCCAGTGTTCAAGTCTGTCCAGGTCCTCCTGTATCTTAAGCCTGTCTTCTGGAGTGTTGGCTATTCCTGCCAGCTTGGCGTCATCTGCAAATTTGATGATTTCCCCATTTATCCCCTTGTCCAAATCATTGATGAAGAAGTTGAAGAGCACTGGGCCCAGAACAGAGCCCTGGGGCACCCCACTACACACTTCCCTCCATGTAGATGCGGTTCCATTGAGGACCACACGCTGAGTACAGCCGGTCAGCCAGCTATGGATCCATCTGGTGGTGATGCTGTCTAACCCACATTTTTCTCTCTTATCAAGTAGTAGGTTGTGATCTACTTTATCAAATGCCTTACTGAAGTCCAAGTAAATTATGTCCATAGCATTCCTCTGATCCACTAATTTTGTCACTTGGTCAAAGAATGCAATAAGATTTGTCTGGCATGATCTGTTTTTGACAAACCCATGTTGGCTTTTAGTAATGACTTTGTTTGCCTCTAGGTGTTCGCTGATTCGTTGTTTGATTATCTTTTCTGGAATCTTCCCAGGTATTGAGGTCAGGCTGATAGGTCTGTAATTTCCTGGGTCCATTTTTTTTTTTCCTTTTTTGAAGATGGGAACTACATCAGCTCTTTTCCAGTCCTCTGGTAGTTCCCCAGTGTTCCAAAATCTTTGAAAAATATAATTCAGTGGTTCTGAGATCACATTTGCCAGTTCCTTGAGAACCTTGGGGTGTAATCCATCTGGCCCTGGTGATTTGAACTTGTCTAAGCTGGACAGGTGCTCACTTATCATTTTCTTGCCTATCTTAACTTGTGTTTTTTATGGTACTATTTTTGATAGGTTGGTCTGTTTTTCCCTTTGTGTAAAGACAAGATGCAAAAAATGAGTTAAATAATTCTGCTTTCTCCCTGTTGCTTGTCACCTTCTTGCCACTCTCACCCACTAATGGACCAATCATTTTCTTCACTTTTTTCTTGCTTTTTACATGTTGAAAGAAGCTTTTTTTTGTTATTTTTGACTTTGGTCGCAAGCCTTAGTTCATTTTGAGCCTTAGCTTTCCTCACTTCATCTTTGCAGGCTCGGGCTATTTGCTGATATTCTGACTTAGTTATGTGCCCCTCTTTCCACTTTCTATACTTGTCCCTTTTATCTTTCAATTTATCAGAGAGTTCTTTATGCAGCCATGCTGGTTTCTTTTGAGAGCTGTTATTTTTCCTCTTTGTTGGTATTGTGCTAGACTGGGCTTTTATTATCTCACTTTTCAAAATTTCCCAAGCTTCTTGAGTTGTTTTCCCCTTGAGGAATCTCATCCATGGAATCCTTCCCAAGCCCTCTCTAAGTTTATTGAAATTAGCTCTCTTAAAGTCCAAGACTCTAGTTAGACTGTGTTCTATTACTTGTGCTTCCATAATGTTGAATTCCAATATTGCATGATCACTTCCTCCCAATATTCTTGTAGCTTCAACACCTTCTATCATTTCATCTCTGTTAGTGAGAATTAGATCCATCCTAGTTCCCTTCTCTACTTTTTGGGAGACAAAGCTGTCTGCTAGGTTTGCAAGGAATCCATTTGATCTTCCACTTGGTGCAGAGTTTGTCTCCCAGTTGATGTCAGGGTAGTTAAAATCCCCATTACTATTGTGATGTGCTTCCTACATACCTTAGTTAGCTGACTAGCAAAAAGTTCATCTATTTCCTCTGTTTGGTTGGGTGGCCTGTAGTATACACCTATGGCAATGTCATGTCCCCCTTTTATATTGACCCAAATGCATTCAAGACAGTTTTCATCATTGTTGTGCTCTATTTCTGTAGAGATGTAATTATTTCTTACATATAGAGCAACTCTATGTTGAGAAGGTTGTACAGGTAAGCAACCATTCAAAGTTACAACAGCCATCCTCAGAACTACTTATGACCTGGTTCTAAAGTTCTAATGACTGCCCATACCTGTGTAGTAACACGATCGCATTGGGGCACTTGGCAACTCATGGCCATTTACAGAGTCTCAGTGTCATGTGACCATGATTTTTATGATTTTTGCTGGTTCCTGCAATTTAGTTCTGGTTTCTAACAAAAAAAAATGCCCCTTGAGGGAAACAGGTTTATTTAATGACTTCAGTGTTCACTTAATGTTAAACTTGCAGCACTACCTAGACGGGAGCAAGGTGCCTTTCAAAGTATGGACTGATCACAAAAACTTAGAAGCACTGAAAACTCCTTGCTAGCTATCCCCAAAGCAAGTACGGTGGGCACAGTATTTTAACCAATTTAACTTCACCCTGAAATACATACCAGGAGGGAAAAACCTTTTAGCTGACGCTCTATCCAGATTGCCTCAGTACAAAAGCCAGTGTGAAGAGTTCACAAAGAACTTTGAAGAGCCGAGGTGGCGCAGCAGTTAGAGTGTAGTACTGTAGGCCACTTTAGCTGACTGTTCAGCAGGTCAGCGGTTCAAATCTCACCGGCTCAAGGTTGACTCAGCCTTCCATCCTTCCAGGATAGGTAAAATGAGGACCCAGATTGTTGGGGGCAATGTAAATATATATATATACATTGCTTACTGGTGTACACCGCTTAGAGAGTGCTTGCACTTAAAGCGGTATATAAGTCTCATAAATAAATAAACAAATAAATAAATAAATAAATAAATAAATAAGAGGTCAATGAAGCAATTATATCTACCCTGCAAGCTGCATCTCAACTAACGCTACGAAGAGCCCCGTCTTCGAGAGTTCCAAACCTCGATGACCCTGGGATGAGAAAATTAAAACAGGAACTCCTCAACGATCGATGGTTCAAAGACAATCAAACCTCCTTGACATGCAGGGACAGATTGGCTTACAAAGGGGGGAAGCTTTATTTGCCCGAAACCCTCTGCCTCAACACTCTCCAGCACGATCACAATGTGAAACAAGCTGGGCACTTTGGCTATTTAAAAACACTGCATCTGGTTCGTCGACAATTTTGGTGGCCAGGTTTGAAACGGGACATGGAGAACTATGTCAAAAGCTATGCTGTATATGCCACCATGAGAATTCCAGGGGAACCCCCTGGATTATTACAACTGGTTGCAGACCCTTCCCAGCCATGGGAAGAAATTGCTATGAGTTGAGTTACCTGAAAGTAGAGGAAATACAGTGATTTGGACTGTGATTGATCTTTTTTCGAAGCAGGCTTATTTCATTGCCTGCAAAGGACTCCCGTCAGCCCAGAGACCAAGATGTTTCTTAAGCACATTTACAGACCACATGGTGTGCCAAAACAGATAATCTCTGACAGAGGGGTGCAATTTACGGCCAAGTAAATGAATCAGTTGCCAAGCATCAAAATGTAAATCACATGACCCTGGGGATGCTGCAACGGTCATAAGTGTGAAAAATGGTCATAAGTCACTTTTTTCAATGCCATTGTAACTTTGAACAGTCACTAAGCAAACTGTTGTAAGTCAAGGACTACCTGTACTTTATCACTTTTTTCCATTTTTTTTTTTTTTGGGTCATCATGTTTTTGACACCTCGCTAGGTGATTGGTGGTACTCGAATGTTACCATATTCTAAAAGTGGTACAATCGGTGAAAAGGTTGAAAAGCCCTGCACTAATGGACCAATTATTTCATAAGAGCAAAATTACAGTTATGAAGTAGCAACGAAAATAATTTTATGGTTGGGGGTCACCACAACATGAGGAACTGTACTAAAGGGTCGCAGTATTAGAAAGGTTGAGAACCACTGAGCTAGCCATAATAATAATAATAACGCTGCTTTGTGGAAAATCAAGGAAAAACTGATAATGGTTTGGCGGGCTGAGCAGCTGGAGAGAAAGCCCACATTTCAAGCTAATTGGAGAACATGATTTATGACTGCTTATTGGGGGGTGGAAATTGCAATTTGTTACTTTGTATCGGGGGAAGTGATTTTAGTTTTGGGTTGAACTATGTAGTGCTGATACTTTGTTTCCTGAATAAAATGTCCTTTAAGGAAGAACTCATGCCTTGAAGTTCTTTTGATGGGTTTCATCTAACGGAACCATTACATAATACACAAAATCAGGCTATGTAATTTAGTGGAAACATTTTCCTGTAAAGAAGAGGAAACTACTTTGTACAAGTTCATTAATATAACATTTTTTTACAAACAATAGGACAGTGGGTGAGCTCAGCTGTGCCTTGCTAATGTGACTTTAATTTCTCTATATTATGAGAATATATGTCGAGAGCATTGGCAATAAGATTTATTTAAAATGTAATTCTTAGAATTCTCTTCTCATGGATTATAGTATTCAGTGTATGTATGTTAGCAGTTTGGATATGTCAAGTTAGTCATACCTGAATACATTAATATATTGTAGCAAAATATTTTGCTTTACTAAAATACTACGTCTCAAAAAACAAAACAAAACACTAATGCCAGCAAATTAACTGATATATTTTCTCCTTTTCTTCCTATTTTTCCCAGGGAAGAGGAAGTGGCACAGTTTCACAAGACTATATCAAACCCTTTATTCAGAGCCAACCCTCTGTCAATCATTAGTGAACATCTTTCCAAAAGATTAAAACAGGAGAAAGAGGAAGAACCACTTTAATACCATGACTGAGGATGTTTAAAAACTCCAGCAACTGACTCCACCATGGTTTTATCTGTACAGTAGATTAACGTAACTTTCAGAAACTAGAGGAAGAGAACCAGTATCTTTGTTTGCTGAGCATAGAAAATAAGGTGACCAACATCAATTTGTACACTTTGAGTACTAGTTACAATTCTGGATTGTTTTGTTGGAAACTTGTGGAACTCTGTAGATGTAAGACTGTTCTAATTTCCCAAATTTATCCTAATTATACTTCAGGTCTTTTTGTTTCCCTCTCTGTGAAGTAATGTCTAAACTACCAACTTTCTACTTTTGAGTAATGTAAACTTTTCTGTTTCTTCTTTCTGTGAGCAGTTAAATAGCTGCCTTTACAGAATTGTTTTGGTAAATGCAGCATTGTAATTAATAAAATACCTAGAGCTTTGCTTCTCTTTGAAAATAGGCAAAACCACTTTTTTAAAAATTTGAAATGTGGTGACACACTTAAGAGCATACATATTAGATATGTAACATTCAGTTTGTGTGTGTGTGTATTTGTATATATGTGCACACACACACACACACACACACACACACACACACACACACACACATCAGTGTTTGCCTGTATAATACATTGGTCCCCAATCCTTCTGGCTCTGCGAACCAGCAGTAGCAGCGGTGGGAGGAGAGGACGGTTTCGGGCATGCCCACCACTTGCACAAATGGAGCTTCATGTGCTCATGTACCACTTCCGCAGCCCAGTTCTCAATGGACTGTGGGTCAGTACAGGGCTGTGGCCTAGGGGTTTGGGACACCTGGCATAACATACATGAAATTATCTATCCTAGTTGAAAGTGGACATTACTTATAAACAGTTTATAAGATCTGTGAAATTAAACTATAACACAGTGGTCCCCAACCTTTTTGGTATCGGACTGGTTTCGTGGAAGACAATTTTTCTCTCTCTCTCTCTTTCCCCCTGCAATGTTAGTAAATGGAGTAAAAACAAACAAAACAAAATTAATGGCCAAATGTTGAAATATACAATATATACAAACCTATACAGGCATAATGGAAATTATTCTTCCTTAAATTGTTTCTGGGAACTGACTGAATGCTTCTATCCATCTGTCAATAGAATAGACTTTGTTCCACAGGAAACCTGATGAAATACTGGAGCAAGTATGTTAAATGTTTGATGTGTCTTTTGCCATTGAAAGTGAAGGAATGGGGTTAAATGAACTGAGCCCAAAGGAAACACATCATTGAAAACATGTTAAATTGTGAGAAATTTGGGGAAAATCCTATTTTTTGTAAGAGTAATTATAAGTGTCCATTAAAACTAGATTTTTGAGCATTCCTTGGTGACTGCCTAGGCACATCTATATTGTTTTTCTGGAGCAACACAAGTGATTTTTACTGCCTTTTTCTGGGATAGTTTTTCAATTCAGCTTCCAAGATTAGCCTATTGTCTTGGTATTCTGTGGTGGCCATCCAGATACTAACAAGTCAAACCCTCCTTAGCTTTTGAAGATCAGTCAAGATTGGTAAGTCAAGGATTATAGAGAAAATAGATTATAAAAGTAAAGAGGTTTATCAACAAAATTTGGTTAAAAGAAGTTTTTTAGATTTTTTATTCAAAGTTATATGCTAGTGAAAGCATACAAGTTTCAGATATAGAAAAGTATCTACAGGCAGCACATTTTCCTAGACTTTCAAATGATCAACGAGATGAGATGAATTCTTTAATTACTTCTGAGGAAACTATTTGGGTGATTAAACAGTTAAGGGTTGGTAAAGCTCCTGGTACAGATGGATTAACCGCAATCTATTATAAAATGTTATTTGAAGAAATGATAGAACCATTAAAGGAACTTTTTAATAGTATTTTGTTGGGAGCAGAGGTACCTCCGTCTTGAGAAGGGGGTTTATATCGTTGATCCCAAAGGAGGATCAAGATCTTACCCAGCTTAAGAATTATAGACCTATATCTCTTTTGAATACAGATTATAAGATTTTTTCAAAAATATTGGCAAATAGATTAATGCATGTTTTGAAGCAATTGATCCATAGTGATCAATCTGGATTTATAATTGGGAGATATATGAAATATAATGTAAGACAAATTGTTAACCTAATTGAGTATTTGGACAAGAACAATCAAATCCCGGCGGCTTTGATATTTTTGGATGCTGAAAAAGCTTTTGATCAGTTAAATTGGCAATTTTTATTGAGAGTTGTAGAGAAAATGAATTTTGGGGATAAATTTTTGTATGCTCTTAAGGCTATATATCAACAACAATCGGCACAAATTATAATTAATGGGGGATTAACAGAAGCATTTAAAATTGAAAAGGGTACAAGACAGGGATGTCCGTTATCCCCATTGTTATTTGTTTTAATAATGGAGTTTTTATTTATTAAAAGGAAATAAAAATAAGAATGATTATAGGTTGAGAGCTTTTGCCGATGGTTTGGTTGTGACATTATCTCAACTGACAGATTCGGTAAGGGATTTGGTGGAAATCATAACCCAGTATGGGAAAGTCTCTGCTTTTAAGGTAAATAACAATAAGACTAAAATATTACCGAAAAATATGTCTATGAAGGAAAAGGATATGTTAGTTAAATTAATAGGTTTTGAAATAGTGAAAAAGGTTAAATATTTGGGAGTATACATTACAGCTTCTAATGTTAAATTGTACAAAAATAATTATGAGACATTATGGATAAAAGTGCAAAAGGATTTAAATGATTGGAAAAAACTACAGTTATCTTTGCTGGGGAGAATTTCAGCGGTTAAAATGAATGTTCTTCCAAAGTTTCTTTTTTTGTTTCAAATGATACCTATTTTGAAAAAAGATGCCAACTTGGAGGAATGGCAGAAGGGTATTAACAAGTTTATTTGGGCAGGGAAAAAACCAAGAGTTAAGTTTAAGATTATACAAGATGCACGGGAAAGAGGAGGACTTAAGGCGCCTAATTTAAAATTGTATTATGATGCGGTGGATTTAACATTGATTAGTGATTGGCTTAACTTAACAAATAAAAATATACTCCTTCTTGAGGGATTGGATTTATTATATGGATGGCATCCATATTTAATTTATAATAAAAAAGTAGATCAGGTTTTTAAATCTAATATTTTAAGAAACACTTTATTATGTGTCTGGAAGAAGTATTATAGGTTAAATTATAAAATTCCAATTTGGGGGATTCCTGGACACGCGATAGAGGGGGTATCTAGGGGTGTGAATTTGGATAGGATTTCTTATAAGGAATTACTTAGGGAAGGATTGGCAATTAAAATCTTTAGCTGAGTTGAAGCAAGAAAATATGGTACACTCTTGGTTTCAGTATAATCAGTTGTTAGTTAGGTGGAGTTTAGATCAAAAGGTTGGTATTACTTTAGGGGACGTGAATTTGGTAAAACAGATTAAAGATCAAACTCAAGTCCATATAAAGAGAGTTTATAATGTTTTAATAGAATTGGATTCTGAAACGGAGTTAGTTAAAGACTGTATGGTAAAATGGGCTCAAAATATTCAAGAGCTGATTTTATTGGACACATGGGAGACAATTTGGGTTAGAAATGTAAAATTTACTCAAGCTCAAAATTTAAGAGAAAATTTTTATAAAATGTTTTATAGGTGGCATTTGGATCCTCAAAAGCTGTCCTGTATGTATCCTAATTTACAGCCCAAATGCTGGAGATGTGGAAGCTTAGATGCAACTTATTTTCATATTTGTTGGACTTGTAGAAATATAAATGCTTTTTAGATTAAGATTTGGTGGAACATTCAAAAGATTTTTAAGAGAAAGATAAAGTTTACGCCACAATTATTTTTGTTAGGTGTTATTGTAGATTTTGATGTTAAAGAAATTAATTTGATGTTGAATCTTATAACAGCTGCAAGATTATTGGTGGGGCAATATTGGAAAAAAGATTCTTTGCCTACTATGGAAGAATGGATACTTAAGATGTCTAATTTAGCAGAAATGGCAAAAATTTCCGCTTATTTGAAGGACTATTCACAAGAAAGATATATCTCGGTTTGGAGAAGATGGATAGATTATATTCAGAATAAATATGAGACTAAAAAATATTATCTAGCTTATGAGTAAATTTTAGATTATTATTAATAGTTTAATATGCTTGAATTTATATTAGTTTTAGTATTATGGTTTAATTATATTATTATTTTCGTTTTTAATTTGTTAATATTTATTTTGAAAAGGAGTTAAAGTATGTTATGGATTTGATTGTTTGTATAGTTGGGTAATGTTAGTTAGATTATGATTGTTTATTTGTAACCCTGTAATCAGCTCTGGGAAGTGGGGGAGGGGTGGGAGGGATTTGGGATATATATTGTATAAAATCTTTAAAACTTTTAATAAGATTGGTAATTTTGTATAAATTTTTAATAAAATTTAAGAAATTAATTCTGTAAATATAAACATGTAATATTACACTAATCAACAAAGGAAATGATTTCTAATTGATTTTTAGTACTCAGAAAGGTTTGCTTTGTCTATGCAACAAAAAGCAATATAATAGTAAATGTTCCTAGTTCTATCAGCCAAAAATTACTACACTCTTTTACAATCATTTTACAATTCAACAGATTGGACTGCTGAGTCAACAAGGAAGGTCCTTATCCTTATACTAATGTCTTTGCTGTCACGTTCAAGTTAACTTGCATTTAGTATGCAGAAGGGAAATTTTGTAGGAAAAGAATATATTGACATGTTAACATAGTACGTGAATAGATTTAATATTTTCAGTTGTAGCATGCATGTTATGCCAGTGGCCTGAATGTTGGCAAATCAGAATGACTGAATTGGTGACAACTATGGAGAGTTGCTGTGGTTCCTGCCTCTGCTTAGTATGCTCATGATTTTGGTCAACTATGCTCAAGGTTACCTTTTCTTACTTTTTCTGACAGCAGGTAAAGATATTTTTATCAGCCCCTAAGCTGATTCTCACATACCCTGTAATTAGTTTTAGCTGAGTTTTTATGATAAGACATAAGATGATATGATATGCTGAATATTTCATTAGATTGTATTGATGTCATTGTTTTTAGCCTCATTGAGTATCATTTGGTTGAAAGGCTAAATCTAAGGATAAAGGATAAATCTAATAAAGAAACAACATTAATGCATAGCAATTAGCCTCTAAAAATAGCATACATTTTCTGTTGGAATGTGGATCCTGTTTTTTTTTTTTTTTTAGTAATCAGAAATAACTAACATAATGGTTGACAGATTTTCATCAACTTTGCTTCATTTTGTTCTTGCTGGCATGTTTTTTCTGTTATAAATTTACAACTTTTTCTATGTAAAAAGTTTTCATCCAAATCCACAAGTTTAACAAGAATTCCTGTTACTTGAACAGGTAGGAGCAGATGTAGGGAGAAATGAGTCTTTGACTACGGGAGGATGTAGCCTCTTTTCAG